GTTATTTTTAGACACTTTTTTGGTCTTCATTGTCTTTTGCAACACGATGTTTTAAAAAAGTGTCGATTAACATTTTTTTAAATTTAAGCATTTTTTAAAAAAAATTTTTAACCCGGTACATTTGACACTTTTTTAGTCTCTCCAACTGTCTATTTGTAGCACAATGTTTTGAAAAGTTTCAATTGACATTTTACTAAATTAAAATAAAACTCTTAATCAAATCCGACAGAATTTGACCACATTGACTAGTTGTTAAATCTAACTTTTGAAGACCTATGTCTTGTCAAAAAAAAAACTTAAAACATTTTTTGTCATAGAAACATTTAACTCAGTTTCATGCTCTTTATCACCAGCCAATAGGTGACCCAATACTTTTGAATTACCCTGTATACAGACTGTTTTGACTAAACCCTACATTAGAGAAGTATTAGAAGCTTTAGCAGTGATATATCGGTTTATAAAAGCGATGTTTGGAGTTCAGACAAGTGTTAAAAGTTGCGAATTTGGGCCTTTTGTTGTGTGAAGTTTGTGTAATTTAAACAAAAAAACTGTTTACAGGAGTGGCGTGATTGAGAATACAATATTATAACATTTTTGTTTTGTTTTTAAGTTATGAAAAATTTATTTAGTTTTTAAATTGAAAAAAATATCAATAAAACTGTGATTCAGAAATTACTAGTTCTACTATTTAGATAGAATTCAATTTTTGTTCAAAATTTTTAGTAGTAGGTTGTCACTACTTCAAAACTTAAAAACAGAGAAAATGTTCTAAAAATTTCTTTTACTAAATAGTTTTTTTCTGAAAGCAACTTTGTATTTTAACATTTTCGTACTTTTTACTTATGGTATACACTATATAAGATGATTTAAAACTTGCGCCTTAAAAAAAATTACAAGTACGGTGAGCCACTCTGTATAGTTTAGGTAATTTACCACATTTATTTAAAAAAAAAAACAATAGAATTTTTTTCGACATAACTTTTAGTAATAATTGTGATTACCACCGATATTCTCACGCAGAAAGTTAATTTTGAAAGTTTTTGCACTCGAAACCAAATATTTGTTGGATGAGTGTTTCAATTTATGTGGGCTTGGGTCCGGAGCCCGGATCGCTCCGGTCCGTCCACTGTACTCGAGTTTTTGACGTGGCTTTAATCCGGATTGATGTACGGTTATTATTTGACGTTTCACGGGAGAGCTGCGATAAAGAACCCAAGTCGATCGTTTCGAATCATGTGCCTATCCGGATCGGGAATTTAGGAAGTAGCTCGTGGGCGAAATGGAGCCATATGTGAAAAATGCCCGTCCCGGAAATGATCCAATCGACTTTGAAATCGGTGTTTATTTCTAGCTATTATGTTAATTAGTTTGCACAAAATTTCATTAGATTTTTAATACGAAATTTTAAAAAGCCTCAATTTAAATTTTTTTTAATTTGAGTATTTCTATTTAAGAAATTTTTAAACGTTTTTTTGCAAATATTTCTTTAGTCTTTCCCACTGTCTTTTGCAACACGATGTTTTAAAAAAAGTTTCGATTGCCATTTTTTAAATTTAAGCATTTCTTAACGAAATTTTTAAATGTTTTTTTGCAAGTCTAGAAATTTTTTAAGCCGGTACATTTGACACTTTCTTATTTTCTTCAATTGTCTTTTGTAGCAAAATGTTTTAAAAAGTTTCAATTTACATTTTTTTTAATTTAAGCATTTCTACTTAAGAATTTTTTTAACGTTTAGATATTGTTTAAACCGGTATTTCTAGACACTTTTTTAGTTTTTCCCAC